ATTATAAAATTTTACTTAACCATTTAATATTTTGTTTCTCAACTGGTTGAAAATATTAATGAATCAATAAGAAAAAAAGAAATACTTGCTTGCAAAATTGACCTTGATAGAAAGTTGAGAATTGAGGAATAATAAAATGGCTTCCTAGAGCGAATTACCAACATATAAATGGTTACATTGATGTTAAACTTCAAATAATGGTGTGTTGGCAACTAGTAATACTAAACGTAAAGTCATATTACAGGAACAGGCAAGTTAAAATGGGATATTTTGTTCTGTCTCAATGCTTTATGGAAATATTATTAGTTTAAATTAAAAGTCCGATTGGTACATAAAGGGTTATACAGTGTCGAAAATTTATAAATATAATTTTTCGAATGATTTGAATTGATATGATCATAACTTCATTGAAATCTTATTACTTTTTTTTTTTTTGAGTTTTACGGATCAAATTCTTGTCTTTATGATGAAAATGACATATAATGGGCAGGTTTTTTGCGATGCACCATAGTTCTGGTAATAATGTGATTTGCTAGTTCTTTTTTAATAAATGAGGGGGGGTAGTATAAGCAATGCTAACTTACGACATTGTAATAGGCTACTTCAGGAAAAATTCATACTTGAAGTATCTAAGTCATAAATTGCAATTTCTAAGTAAAAGTTGAGTAAAACTAGTTTTGGTCCTAGTTATGAGCATTGTTAACATGCGACGCTGAAATCCCGTTATTTTTAGTTATGGTCACGGGCTACTAAAATGGACTTAGGTTTAGAGGGCAATTTCTAATTTTTTGTTCCTAGGTCACAATTTAGCTAAAAAATATTTTGTCATAATTTATTAGGGGGAATGTTAAGGAAATTTTTGTCGCGCGGATTACTAACGCTAAATATTTCTTACAACTCTTGAATTCAAAATGCAATATCATAGTTTCTAGGGCGAAAGTAACCGAAAACGTGTTTTGCAAAGCTTTTTTCTTTTAGGACAGCATAACAATTTCCTAAAATGATCTAAGCGTTTGGTTGCAAAATTCAAACCTGCAGTTTCGTACATATTAAGTCGTACATTTTTTGAGAGACTTTTTTGACCATTACTTTTCCTGGATGGAGAGCTAATAATAGGTTTTGTTAAAGCAGCATATGTTCAAACAATTTTGTGCGAGGAGCATTTTTTTTTAGGAAAAATTTCTTTTTGGATTAAAAGTTTGCAAAAACTTGTTTTAGCCATATTTTTAAAAAGGTATGATAATGAAATCTTTGTTGCGCCAACAGTTTCCTGCAATTTTTTCCAAAATATTACAGTTTTCGTGTAATAAATGAGCTAACACCTGTTTTGGCCATATTTTTTTTTATCAATGGGGGTGGTCTAACAAAACTTGTTAGGATAACGATTTCCTGATAAATATTTTAAAACAGTATTCCAAACTTCCAAAGCAAAATTTACCTCACGTTCATTTTTTCTGCAACCTAATTTTCGTTGATGGCATAATGAAAGTTTTCGTTGGGAAGACAATTTTGTTTAATGAGATAACTTGTTTAGGTGAAATTGAAACTTGATGTTTCTAGTTAAAAATTAAGGTGAACTTTGCTTTCATTGTTTTTGGAGTCCCGCAACGGACTGATCGCAAAGACATGGTTCCCAATAGAACACTGAAGTCGAGCATCACTGGCTGCTGTCAGTGAGTGGGTGGGTGACCACTTGGATCATGCTGCGTAGGGACCGAGGGTGCACGGTATCGGTCCTCGTTAAACTGTTCTACCGTAAAGTGCTCGACTTCACGTGCAGGTCATTGGGCTACCGAAGCAGGGGAGCCATCCTCTCTGCGGAGGTTCAAAATTGCGATGACATGTCTTCGAATTATCCTCAGGGATGCTTCTCAGACCGTCGCCAATAGCCCATTGCACAGCTCTAGTGCAACCTAAATAAAGTACCTACCCACCTTGTTTTTGGATGGTACCTATAATTTGCTATAATGGACAAAAATTTGAGTGCGAGATTTGAGATTGAATTTCTTAAATAATAAATTAGCTGAAATTTGTTATAGTCAAAACTAATTTTGTGGAAGAGCAAACAAACTTTACGTTAGTCTTTTGATTTCCTTAAAGAGACAAATGTTTGGAGTTGAAATTAAAATTGTGTTTAATCGATCAGGAATCAGCTAAAGCATATTTTGACCATGCCTTTTTTTTTAATTTGACGGTTTTGAAAAATTCAAACATTAGTTTCTACGCTGTAAAATAGATAAGTTTTCCATAATTTTGTTTAATTAAGCTCAGAAACTTATAATGTAATGAAGGTAATGAACAATGCTTATGAAAGATACGAAATTTCTCCTAATTTTTATAGACTAACGACTTACTGCAATGAGCTAATGTTATACCCTTGTTGTTTTGTTAACCGTTAGATGTTTTCGTGGTTTTCTTCTCCATATAACGCAAATCTGGGTTAGTTCCATAAAAAATTTCTTTACGAAGGCTAGTTTGCCCCAATGCTTGACTAGAATTTGGAGCTGGCATTGGCTACGGATTCAATGTTCTGCACCAGCTATAAAATAAAATGAGCTCATGTTTCAATGTGAAATATTAATTTATGTTTTATTGGTCAAAAGTTATCTTAAACTTATTTTGACAAGAACCATTTTGGCACTTACCGCGGACTAACGTTTGACGATAAAATGCAAATTTGTTGTTTTTAGGTTCATCTTGAACATTTTAATAGCATTTTTAATTTATAATACAGTAATTTATTAACAAATTTAAAATAAATTCATGTTATTTTAAAAGTAAAAAAAAAANTAAATTTAAATGAGCCATGTTCTAATCTATGTGTGATTTGGAAAAGTTGTAGGAGTTTATGATTTGGAAAAACTCAACTGCTGCTTTTAAAGACAGGTTAAAAAAAAAAAAAAAAAAAAATTTTTTTTTTTTTTTTTTTTTTTTTTTTTTTTTTTTTGTGGCTTCCCTTACGAAAATTTTGGGCGAACTACTTACAATAATTCGCTAACGTTTTGCAGCAAAATTCAAACTTGGGGTTGCGATGACAAATTTAACTTAAAGTAAATTTTGCTTAAATTTTTTATGATTTTTTTGCTGAGCGAAATAGGACAAAATTAGTAAGAAATTGTTGTCAGCCAGGGGCATTTTTTATAGGGGCCACTTTTTCAAAAATTAGAAATTTAAAACGATTAAGAAAGCAATCCATATTATTTATGTAATGCATTTCTCAAAATATTATATACCCTACCCGATTCATTTCTTAAGTGCTTAAAAAAAGTTCTGTACCTTTGAAGTAATTTTATTTAAAATATAAGCATAGTATGAATAACGTTTTTATCTTATAAAATTTAGGGTATAATCTTTTAAACCAGTAATGCTAGATAAAATTTGTGTTAGTTTAGAATCGCAATGTTTATTAGATACTAAACAAAACTTATATTATTGGGATTAATATAGCACAATATATTTCATAAAATTATTTTTTTATTTACCATAAATTAAAATTTGATGCCGAAATTAACTTGATTTCGAAATGAATCTTTGATAACGAAATTCAGTTCCCCTGAAATACTGATCTAGTGTAAAGTAAAATTGTTCAGAGTTTCATTATTCAAAAATGGAAAAATTATTAAAAAAATTATACAGAAAAAAAAACAGAAAAAATAGTTCCTTATTTTAAACAAAAATTAAAAGCCGAAAATTTTAGAAAAAAGCGACGATAGAAAAAGTTTATAAAAATGCACCCACAAATGCGCCTGGATAAAATCGCCGTCAAGAACAATAATTTAGAATTTAATTCTAATAAAAAATCATTTTTAATTCTCAAAAGAAACCTTATACACTGTAAATCTCAGTTTTTCGCATTGCAGTGAGTGGAGAAGATAAAAAAAAAATAGCTTTATTCGTCATTAAAATCTTATTTAGTAATCTTGTTGTTGTTAAAAAATTCAAGTTGGATTGTCAAGTGTCAAAGTTGGTAATTTGGAAAAGTGAACATGAGAGAAAAGGAAATCAGATCTTAGGTTCCCTATCAGCCACTTAGCAAAGCAAAAACTTTAACTTAAAAAAACAAGCAAATTTTATCCTACGATTGCGTAAAAAAGTGACAACGCATCACCTGGATCTAATTTTGACTTTTCCTGAAGTAATGTGGCTTAAATAATTTTGGGCTTAAATAAACAATGTAACTTTGCTAAAATTATTAGGTAGGTTATTTCAATTTTATAAAAGTTTGAGAAGAGTATTCTTTAGGAACATTTGCTGATTTTTCTGAAATGGTTACATAAAAGCAATTTTTATCCAACTTTTGTCTTATTCTTACTTTTGTTTTAAATATGAAGTTATTTCAATTGTAATTTTTTCCCCAATCATTGTTTTTATTTTATTTTTAAAAAAAATATTTTTTTCAATGATGTGATTTAAATGCCTTAAGTGGGCGTTGCTCGTACCCCACATGCTACTTGTCGGAAAAAATAAGTAAATCACAAATCTGCAGCCCTCTTAAGTTTGTCCTTAAGTTTGTAAGATCCCTATAGTGTTGCATAAATATTTATATAATTATAACCAATACGTCGCGTTTTTTCAGGTTTTGAACACTATATAGTACAGTCCAACCGAATTCGACGTCTCAGCTTCTTGAAGGTAAGTCATACAAAATCAGAATTTAATAATCTTCGTGTTCTTATTAACCTGCATTTATATAAATTTTCAAAGAAATAAAAAGAGTACGCAATATAAATAAAGATATATATTAATATTAAACATAATTTCGTATACTAAATAGAAATTACATTCAAGACTTGCAAGATATTCGGCAGGAAGACAACATATATTTGTCAATATTTAAACAAAAAAAAATGTTGTTTTCGTTCAGAAAATGTTTGAGGTTTTCTAATCATGTTAAAGCCTTTTTTTAAAAAAAATAGGGAATTTCATTGTGGAAAAAAAATCCACGATATAAGTAAATTAAAATAATTTTTGTGATGAAAGCATTTAAAATCGTGACGTAGACTTACGAAAAAAAGGTTACACTTTTTAAATCAATTATAAGTAGCCATGTTTAACTGTGACGTCCTGATAGAGAATAGTGTTTTCTAGTTATGATAATAAAACCATTTCGAGATTGTTCCCCTGTAGCATTAAATAATTTGAAGTTATATTGTAATGTGTCGTAAAAGAATGATACCTTATCCAATTAAAATAAAGCATTTTCTAAATAAATCGCAGNCATTTCGAGATTGATCCCCTGTAGCATTAAATAATTTGAAGTTATATTGTAATGTGTCGAAAAAGAATGATACTTTATCCAATTAAAATAAAGCATTTTCTAAATAAATCACAGTGTTGCGAAGAATTAAATTTATTGAACGCTGTGTAAACCTTGCCCATTCTAACATAGTGCTAAAATGTCGCAAATAAAATAAAATAAAATATCGTAAAATGAACTAAATGTTTCTGTTTTGCTTACAAATAGGTAAATAGAATTCTTTTTGTCGTATCTTCGAATATGGTTAAATTTTGAGTGAAAAATGTTTAAATTAATGAATTTTAGATGCAATTGTCTTACTGAAGCTTCCAAATAATAAATGATGCGGAATCACAATGAAAAGTGAAACATCAAATAAAAAGAAGCGTAAAATAAAAAATGCGTACAGAAAATGCATAGAACAGTAAAGCAAAAATATAAAGTGGAAAAAAAAATATTTAATAAAGTAAAAGTAAAAAGAGTGAAAAGTAAAAGGGAAAGCTTAATATGGAGAAAACTTAATATATTAAGTAGAAATTATAGCAGAGAATAAAGAGTAGTAAAATGTGATGTGTCAGGAAAAATTAAAGCATAATATATGAAGTATAAGGTAAAGTGTTACGTAAAGAGTGAGATATAAAGTGAAGCAAAGAATAAATTTTAAAAAAGTTAAGCGTAAATAATTTAAAGCGTAAAATATAAAAGTAAAGCTTAAAGTGAAAAGGGGATGGTAAAATTCTGAAAGAATAAAAAATAAAGTATAGGAAAAAAAGTAAAGCATAGTGTAAAATAGTCTGTATAATATAAAGAAATTCGCAAAACAAATAAAGTGTAAACTCAAGTAAAGCGTGTAATATATAGTATAAGTGTAAAATAAAGCGTTAAATATAAAATAAAATAAAGAATAATATAAAGCAGAAGATATAAAAGAACTGTAACGTGTAAAGAATAAAATAAATCTTGAGGTGCAAATCGTAAAGTAGAAAGTATTATATTTTTAAAATAAATAAAAAGTAAAGTGTAAAGTAAAGAAGAAACTAAAATATAAAATAGTAAAAGGTACAGCTTAGCTTAAAACAAAGTATAAAGTAGAAACGTCAAGTAAACAAAGCATCAAGTAAAGTATGAAGTAAAATAAAATGTGATGTATAAATTAAATCATAAAATGTAAAGTAAAGAAAACAGCTAATAAAGTAAAGCCTAAAATTAAAAGTGGAAAGCATAATATAAAAATTGTGTATGCTAAAAGTAAGCGTAGAGTTAAAGTAAAATAAATTGCGAGTTAAGTAGAAAGTACAGTAAACCATAGAATATAAATTTTAGTGTAAATTAAAGTATAATGTAAGACTAAATTTTGACTGGTCTAGTCTAGTTTTGACTAAAAGTGATGTAAGACCAAGATTAAACTAAGTTTTAAATAACGTGTAAAATATAAAGTTTAAAGTAAAGAGTAAAATATAAAGAGAAAAGTAAAGTAAACTAAAGTAGAAGGTTAAATAAAACGTGAAGTATAATTTACAGCGTAAGATATGAAATTTAAAGTAAAACGTAAAATATGAATTATAATGTTAAGTATAAAGCGCAAAATTTAACGTAAAGTCTGAAGATTAATGTGAAACATATGAAATATAAAAGTACAGTAATAAGTAAAGAGATTAAAGAAAATATTAAGTTAACTGAATGAATTAAAATAATTTAAAGGTATAATGTTATTGAATTGTCTTCAGCCTGTAATGTTTGGTTACATAGAAATGTTTTATACGTAAGGCAAATCTTAACACTGTTTTATGATTGATTTTTCCCCATAGAAAACTTGAAGTCAAAATTCAAATTTACTATAAATTGAAATATATTATAAAATGCAAATTCAAATCAAGAGTCGTTTTGCCGTTGGGGAGGAGAAGTAAATGAGCAATGAATGGGCGAGAGAATAATATGTAAATGATCTTAATTGTAAAATATCAAATATAACTGCATTGAATATATGTATAAATGGAAATTTAACACATCCCGGTTATCACCAAATAAATCTCCTTAGTAGGTTGAGTCTAACTAATTCTAGATTTAAACTAGAGCGAATATAAAAATTTCTTTTAATTTTTCATAAAATAGAGGCTTTATTTGTTAAATGCTCAGATCTGTTGCTATGACGTCATTAGTTATTTTCACCCCCACTATCCGTATTTTCTGCAGAAACGAGAAAACAGAGCGAGTGAAGATAGCGTCTAATACTTCTGCAGAGAGGGATTACTGTATTTGAGGTAGTTTGCAGTTACATAGAAACGTTTTTTAGAAAATCTTAAAATTGCCACAACAGAATGTTTAGGGGAATCAGGGACACTCGAGGTATACAAACTGAGTTTATGCACCTTCAGTAAATCTTTTGTTTGGAAGTTCTTAAGGGGTGTAATTAAACTTTTCTCTTGTTGTTCTAGGCATCCCCACTCTGACGATGGATCTTCAGTTCTTTTTTTCTCTCCAAGGATACAGAATAACACAGGGAATCAGTGGAAAATTGAAATAGACTACTAAAAGTGAGAAGAAATTTTACAGAATGGTGAAGAAAGGTTGTTTTCGAATCCCATTGAGGAAAACTTGATATATCTCATATGTTTAACACTATGGAGTTCGATAGGATCCCTCTTATTTAGTTACAATAACTAAAATATGAAGAAAATAGCTACTACACTATGATTATATATTGTATAGATATTATACTATGATTATATAATGTATACTATGATGATATATTGTGCATGCTAAACCAGTTGATGTAAGTAAAATGTACTTTGTGTGGGTGTCATCTTTCACAACGAAAACAGGAATTCTTAGCTAGGTAGGGAAATAATTGACATATAGCGCTGAGCAGACGGGTCCGCTTAGGAGAAAAACTACTAAAGCCAGAATTAACTTGAGCGGTGAATAAAATGATAGATAAATAAAGGAAAAATTTGAAATAGGAATTTATAGTAGGATTGGATAGCATGTGTCACTGAAGAGTTTATTTTTTTTCTTCTAAATTCTTTGACAAAGATTTAATTCTTTCACTATATATTTACACACAAACTTAACACAAGGACAGGTACAAATCCATGCAGAACAAATATAGACTTATTTTACGTAAGAGTTGCCAGGTACACAAAAGAAAAATATATCACGGTTACAATGAAACACATAAACAAATAATAAATATATGTTAAATAAAAGAAGTAGACGAGAGATAAATATATTTTAACTAATACGATTTGCGATAACCACGGTAGTTAATTATCATCAATAATTAACTTTCCTACTTATGTTGAGAAACATAACTTAAATACGCCAGTTTCGCTGACAATACGACATAAAGATTTGTTGAAGCCGTAGGTTACATGAGGGTAAGTTAGGTCTTTTTGTAGTGCAAGCACTCAATTAATAGTAGGCTGGAGCATATGATAGCAGATTAACTGTAAGTGGGTATGAGATTAACATTAGAAAGTGGTTTAAAGTTAAGTTGCTAAAGCGAGCAGTTGAAATAGTGTCATAATAAAATGACGTCGAATATGTTCAAATTTAGTAAGCTCGAATAATGTTCATGTAATATTGGATAATATTATTTACTAACGAAATGATAGTTATACATGTAGGTAATCTATTTAATGTAAGTAACAAAATAAGTACAGTGAAACCTCTCGGTAAGGGCCACCTGTAGTTCCATTGAAAATTGGCCCTTATGGGGGGTGGCCCTTAAATGGGGGTGACCAAAAATAAAATGAGGAAATCAAATTTTATGTAGAAAAAAAACTGTTTATTAACATTTTAAGTTTTTATGCCTGTTTAAAAAAAATTTCAATTGAAGTTTGTTTATTTTTTACAATTTTTTCGCAAACAATTTAAGTTTCTAATGATTCATTAACTCTATAAAACAAATTAGTTAAATTCGCATCATTTATTAATGCCTTGGATTGGGATATCTGTTTATTTACTTCTATCAGCGTTTCTTGGTTTGATAAATATGGCACGGGGGATTCATTCTCATTATCTGAATCAGACTGAACTCCTGAAAAAATTGAACAAATAAGTTTAAAAGTTTCGTTCCTCAAAATATTGGCCCTCAATAGAGATGGCCCTTAAGTAGAGGTGGCCTTTAGGAGAAGTTTCACTGTATTTCAAATAATAGTGCGAACGAGCATTACTTTGATATTAGGCATGAATAGAAGGCATCAGTTCAACAAAAGAAAATGTTTTACAAAACGGATCACATGTTAACAAGAACGAATAATGTTCGATCGGTCACATGTGAGCTGGTTAGAGTACTGATAAATAGGTTATTGGTAGAGTTTAACAAATGAGATTGGTTAAAAAGCTAGTATTTAAAACTGTTTAAAAATTGTTAAAATAATAGTTGGCACAAACAAGAATGAAATTACAGAGTGTTCGGTTAATAATCAAATAACAAATTCAGATACTGTTGAATAATAGGATGTTTGATAAGGAATGAGTAAAGCGAAAGATAAGTTAAAAACGTGCCAATTGACAGTAAAATCAAGTAACGTTCAATTTGTAGTAAGATCCAGATATAGAGGGTTCGATTATTGATCATATTAAACCGGGTACGAGTAACGTTAAATACTTCAAGGGTAGACGTTTAAAATAAAGTGTTCAAAATATAGTAGGTTCAAATAATGACCAAATGATAGCGTTCGAATGCCGATAATGAATTTAGATTTTAAAAAATAATCGTATAGTATCATGCATATAATAGCCGGTCGCATTATTAATTAAATGACAGAAATTCATGCACTAATTTAATTATAAAAGGTACAAATACCATAAAATGAGTAAGGCGTTCGAGTATAGTTTTAAAATAAGTTACTAGAAACGTGTTTTAATTATAAGGTGATCGAGTAATATCGAAATTATGCGTGAGTACGATTATTGAGTAGCAACTTGGAATACTCTTATTAACTAGTGGGCCCTAGTTTCACAAAAGAGAGTATTATTCTGATAAATGTACTAACAGAGAGATCGAATAATTTACTAAAGATGATAAGCTCGATTACGGATCATATAATAATAGGTTCGTGTACTGTAGGTAGCGAAATCGAACACTGATACATACTGCGTTAATGCTAATACATAAAGAAAAGAATTTTGACCACTATTGCATCAACTATATTTTAATAAAATATCTCAGAACGGACTCAATTTTGCTAACATTTCATCGTACCTACTATATTTAAATAAGTTCACGTACTCACCCTCTCTTAATCACTATCATGGGATCAATAATAGGACCTACTATTTATTTTCGTTACTGGTATCTACAATAATTTGTTCGGAAATCTACAATCAGTTGAACAGTGCTCTATTTACCTTTATTTTAATCGTTAACCGAGCCCGCTACCATTTGTTTACATTTGATTAACATTATGAGAGCTTCTTATCGTTTAAACATCACTGGATTTCACAATCAATTGAACACTTTCTAAACTCATCTAAGTACTCGAACCGCTTATCATTTAATGAATAATCGAACCCTCTAATTTCTAATAATCAAAATATAAACTCTGCTATAATTTGAATCTACCTTTTCATCGGTTCTCGAACCCACTATCATTAAATCCATAATAAAGCCCTCCTTTTGCTGCCCTCATTTGGTCAATTTACGAACAGACTATTGTTTTTGTTCAGATTTCAAGCCCATTAGATGTTTTATCGCTGCCCACTACCTCTTGATTAAATCTCAACCCCACCATTTTTCGATATTTGAGCGTGAAACAGCGTTGGAATGAAATGGGTTAGAATAATGATCCAATCATCGCGAGATCAATTACTTGTCAAGTAATAAAAGGTTTCCATGATCGATAAGGAAATAGTGGGTTCAATAATTGATCAAACGATCGTAGGTTCTAGAATTGATTAAAAAAAATCTTTTCAAATGAGTGAAGAAAAAATGGTGTGTTCGAGGGGGTATAGAGAACAGAAAGATACAACATATTTCAATGAAATATACTTATTTGAAACTATAACAGGAATATCAGACCAATAGTAGTATACTATTGCAGTGATATTCCCGACGTCATTAGATATACATAACCACATTTTCATCATATCTGCTTAGCTAAAGTTCATACTTTTACAATATAAACTTATCACGCATATAATTACACAGTCAGAACCTCAATGATCCACATGAATACACATTCAGTTCATTTGCATTCCACAACCGCATCGAAGCACCACACAGATCAAGCTCAATAGAAAAAGGGCAGCAAGCGGTCTCAGCTGCCCAGATATTTTATACAGATAGAGAGGTAATATTTGGATTCAGAGTTCCAAATAATAAAGGTTACGAGTAATGTTACAATTATATTGGCTTGGAGTGCGGAAAGATATAGGGTGCATATAATGATTAAACAGTATGGGAAAATACTGATCAAATGATAGTGGGATCGAGAACCGATAAATAATAGCGACTTAATTAATCAAATGACAGTGGGTTCTAGCGTTAAAAAAAAGGTTCGAAATGTGTTTAAATGATAGTAGGTTTGAGAACTGTTCAAAAGACAGTATGTTCAAGTATTGTACAAAAGGTCGTTAAAATGGTAACAGAAGCAGGTTCCAATTAAAAAATTGTGCATTCAACTATTGATCAAATGATATCTGGTTCGATTATTGACCAAATGATAATGGATTAGAGAATCAATTTAAGAAAAGTCTGTTCGAAGACCATTTAAAAGTTAATGGATTGGGTACCGGTCCAATAATAGCGAGCTCTATAACATATTAAAAGTTATTATACCGAATATCTATCAAATGATAATGTGTTCGAGTCTTAATAAAAAACGAGTGGATCTAAGAATTGATTAAATGACAGCATGTTCTAGTATCCAAACCAACAATCTCTTTATCGAATAATCAATTCATCAGTAATCGAACCCATCCCATAAATGTTTAATTGTACTCCAGCCAGTTTACAAGTGTGATCAGCTTTCGAAACTTAAATAATTAGATTAAAACTCGAACCCACTATCATTTTATAAGATTTTAGCCACCTCAATATTGCTCAAACCTACATACTCTATCTGTATTCAAATCAACACTTTATGTATCGATTCGCTAACCCTCACATAGTAGGTAAAAATGTGATGTCTTATATCCGTATTATTCTTTCATCCGTTTTATTTTATTTTATTTTTGGCGTTGAATCGACAATCAAAGTTTAACGCTTTCTCATGATTTTATATCTTATATGGCATCTGCAGCGTTTAATAAAAATATTTATAACTCGCACTGTATGCCGATCTTTATATCAAAAATGTTTTCAGTTATTTTACTTTTTCTAAAAAAAAAAATAATTTTAGGAAATTTTACTGGTCTCCACATACCCAATTAAATCCGTGTGTATATATACCAATCCGTGATAAAAGGCCGAGTAAAAAATCTTTTCTTATAATAATGACAGACCCTTAGCAATTTTTTTCAGTTACGAAATTAGACGAGAAAATTCTCCGAATAAGCAATACCACTTTTTTCGACGCATTCGGATTCCTGACACTCAAATATAGCTGCAATCTAATAAATTTAATTTAATTCCTCATTTCAAATAGTTTCAAAAGTGTCGTTTTACTACAAAGATATTTGCGGAAACAATAATTAGATATTTGAAGGACTCAAACAGGAGTTCATATTTTTGTTTAAATTGTGATAATTAAAATGTTAACACTCTACGGTTTGTCTTCACGATGAATTCCTTGTGCTTTCAGTTAAATGAGGAATTTTTGCCAGAGAACTGCTTTCA